TCAGCAGGACAGGAAGATTGCTAATAATAATGTACTACCTCCTGTTAAAGATAATGCAAGATAGTATTTTTAATGTCTATAAGGGTGTTCCATGGAGTTTGGTATTTTCCAAATTACACTGTAAAGCTGGCACTACTTCATCTAAATAATTTTATCATGCTTTGGCAACAAGTCAAAGAAATATCTAAAGGGTATATGAATTAGCTTTACTGATTACAATTATTCACCTGTATTTTCCCTTTAATACTTGTAATTAACCAATTCCCCTCTTTAGAAGTTTAGCTATTTTAGTTACACTGCTTAAATATACTACATGAAAAGAAACTAATATGTCAATGTATTTCAGCAATTATATTTTTCTTCCTCATAGATAATTTTTCTGTCTGGAGTAAATGTCTGGTAGTGTTGAAGTTAAAAATCAAACTCTTTAATAAAGAATTTCTTCAAGTAAATACCAAAAAATTAAAACATTCAGTTTGAATTTAAGTCTTAATAATTAATTACAACCTAGAGATCTTCTTTATCATAATATCCATGTTCTTTTGGAACTGTAGTTTCCCCTAGATTTACAAGATTTAACTTGTAAAAAAAGTCCAGTTATTCCACTACACAAGATATTTTAAACATGGAAATTATTCATTAAAAAACAAATAAAGGATTTGGCTTAAAGCATAAAAATTTCTTTGTACTTATGGCTTATCACTTTGTGTAGAAATTTTGGATATAGAATTACAGAAATCAAACCTATAAAGAATTGTTGTGGTACAATCAGACTTCTTTATTATCCTTTTTATTAGAATGTAACTCAAGTTGTTGTAATCCTTTTGTCCTTGTGACTATCATCATATAAAGTTTGAAGACTGAAGTTAACCTAAGAAAGAGAACAAAGCTTCGCTTTAACTGAAAGTCTGTGTTAATATGAAGATAAAAACTCAGGCTAAAAAATTTCATGTTGGCCTCATTTAGTATTAGTTACACTTAGAATTCTATCCTATCTGTGGGTGATACCCTTGGTAAGTGACCTAACACAAGATTACCAGAACCTTAAGGTATTAGGCAAATTCTAGAAAATCTATCCATTAACATAGTGGTAAACATATTAGATGATCAGTAAAAATTTGTTGAATTGCATGAAGTGAAAAAATCAAATACTTGAATAATACTTCACAGTTATTTCATTTACTACTCAAAGATATTTTTATTCTTTGCAATAATTATGCATATTTACTTCAGAATAGAACAAGGTCTCAAAACTTAGTTTCTCTAGGTTAACATATTTCCAAATTAATAACCATCATTAAGTCACAAGTGTTTGAAGAGTTTCAGAACAGACTAAAAAATGGCACTTACAACACAGTGAATCTTAATGTAAACAACGTACTGACGTGTCAGTGTAGGTCCATCAATTACGACAAACTTACCATTGTGGTGGGGGATATTCATAATAGGAGAGGCTATGCGTAAGTAAGGGCGGAGGGTATACGGGAAATCTCAATTTTGTTGTAAAACTAATTCTGCTCTAAAAAATAAAGTCTATTAAAAAAAAAAGGCACTTATTCCAAAAATGTTAAAGCTATAAGTAAAACTCTTACTGAGACCTTATTTAGTTTATATTCATTTAGTTGCTATTCCAGGTCATTTGTACTATCTATGTAAATTCTTCAAGTAAACCAGCTGACTACAAAGTAAAATCAGATAAATGTATCTTAAATTTTATTATACAATAAATCCTACTTTAAAGATCTACTTTAACAAAGTTTATGACAAAGACTCTAGATTTATGAGATCCTATTATCTGATCGCATCACTTTTCTACTAAATTATATACATGCTCACTGTTGATAAAAATAATGTTCACCAATATTTCACATGCATGGTTAATGTTTTATTCTTTGAAGTATGGTTCTGAAATGCCACACTAAGTCAGGCTGAAAGGTAAAGTTTAAAATAGTTTTATAAGGATATGTTACAACATATGTAATGACTGTTCACTCTGTAAAATCTTGATCATAGAGCTGATGATAAACCTAGTTCGCAGTAGCACCATTTTCCAAATAGTCATCATTTTTCTCTTGTCTGCATAGACTTCTTCTCATTAGCTGCCTTTTGCTTCTGTTGCATGATCTCAGAGTCCCTATAATGGGAGAAAAGGCTATCAGTTTTTACAGAAAAGCTGATTATGTTCTCAGTTGTTTTCTGTATACAACCCATTCAGTATTAGAAGACAATTTAAAAGAAGATATAAACATTCATGTCTTTCCATTTTCATGGATAGGACAGCATGAGAAAGTAAAGAATAGAAAGGCTTTGAAGTAAGATTATTTTGAATACTATCTCCACTGTTATCACGACCTTGGCAAATAACCTCAAAGCTCTTTCAAAATCAGAGCAATACATATCAGGGTTGTTCTGAGGAATAGTTACATATTATATATATATATATAACACATAATATAAATATATATATATATAAGCATCCCACATTAGCTAGCTATATGCAGAAATAATGGCAATTACTCTTTATTGTCAACAAAGTTAATTCACTAAACTTTTTCCTGAAAAAGGGGAATTTAAGAAGTCTCTTAGATATCCTAACTGGCACCTAGGATTAGGATATAGATGTTACGAAACAATTCAGTTTCTTACAAGCCAAAAAACCCAAAAGCTAGTGATTAAAAATGTATTACACTAAAGAAAAGCAGGATATTCAGGGCATTTTCTTAATCCTTTCTGTCTCTGGCTGAGCTCCGCATGCCATATTGTGTGAACTACAAGCAGACTACCTGGGGTAGATGGTCCATGAGATCTATATTAAAAATATATACATATTAAATGGCTATGTATTCAACACCTACTATGTACCAGGTACTTTACTGGCTCTCAATTAAGTCTCACAACAACTCTGAGTAGTTAGCCCCACATTTCAGATTTAAAAAAAAAAATTAAAGGCTTAGAGCCAAGTAATTTGCCCCAAATCGCATGAAAACCAAGGTTTGTCCAATTTCAAAGTCCAGGCTCTTTCCTATCTTGTTATTATATTTTAATTCAAGATAAGTAGCTCTGTTCATGACAGTAAGACATTTCTGCAAAGCCAATAGCAAAAACAAGGAATGAGAAGGAAAACAAGACAGCTACAAAGAAATGAGGTATCATAGAAAATAGTGATAGTTTTGTTTAAAATCAAGCTCTGCTGTGTTTGTTCTATGACCTTAGTATTGTTACTGAGGTTCAGAGCCTCAGTTTCCTATTTATGCATTGAGCAGGACTGTGATAAATAGAGATAATACACATAGAACACCTACCACCGAACTTTATCAGAAGTGGGAATTTATTAAACAGTGGTTATTACTGAGCCAAGCTAGACTAGCTTCTCTAATAAAAATACTATTTTAGGGTAGCTGATCTGTATCACTTTCACTTTAACCCCAATGTGAGTAAACAGAAAGTTAAACAAAGCTTATCATTTTAATAATGTCATAGAAAGAAAGTTTGAAATGATAGTTAAGGGCTTCCACCTCATTGAATAATGATTAACTCTGGCTGCACATCAGAATCACTTGAGGAGCTTTTTTAAAGTCAGGTTTAACTTAAGATACAATAAAATTTACCTTCAGCACCTTTTAATGCTCAACTCCAGGCCAATTAAATCAGGACTAGGTATAGCACACAGACTTGAGTAGATGGCAAGTTTCCCCAGGTGGTTCTAATGTGTAGGCAGGCTTAAAGACCACAGAGAAGTCACACTGAAGCACATGTAGTCAATTACTCACTTGACTTCCAAATTCCACGTGGACAACAAAATTTGATTTTAGAATAAAATTTAACTTTTTTAAAAACATGAATGCATTTTACTTAAGCTGTTTTTCAAAGCATTTCTGTAGTAGTTTGTATTATTTCTCACATATAGTCTTATACTGAGGCTGTGTACTTGCATTCTTTACAACTCAATGGATCTTCAGAAGTCAATATAGCTACATATACTACACTTTTTGTGTCTCTTTCTAACAGTTATCACTATAATAGTGTCACTTGTCATCCAGACGAGTTTGGGTAGAATGTATTCTTTGAAATGTTGTATCTCTAGTACCTAACAGTTGACTATATGGAAGGTGTTCGATTATTTTTGCTAAATAAAGTTCTTATGGTTCTCTGAGATTCTCTGAAAGACAAATTATAGCTTGAGAGCTTTAAATTCTTCGTCCATAGGTTGGGATGGTAACTACCCCAAATAGTTTTCGTATGCCTGGCACACAACAGATACTCAACTGGTATCCTTTCTTGCAGGTTATGCCTTGATTTACCAAGATTTAAAAAATGCTTTCCATTCCCCAAAATGAAAACTTCAGCGACCTGAGAATATCATTAGTATCACTGACCTCTGCTTTCTCTGAGAGGTACTCAAGCTGTCATCTTTTCTTTTTCCCTTGCTTATTTCCTGAGATTTTTTCATGTTTTTCTGGCGGGCAAGTTCTCGTTGATTTCCACCTACAAAGAGAAAGTCATGTTCTTTTCCCATCTCCAAAACTATTAAGTCCATTATAAGGCTCTTATTTAGAAGTATCTTAAGTTTGCTTTTTAATAGATAAGCCAGAAGAGTACTGGAACTGAATGGTGTTCCCGGATCTGACCACCAGGAGGAAGCTTACAGGTAAACACTTAAGGTCTTAAGAGTATTATCATACCGATCAAGGCGTTCACTGGCTGTAAACACCAGATCTCTTAAAAAGGGAATTCCAATCGTCTGTATACATGGGCCAGAATTCCAAAATAAGTCCTGGCTTTTGAGGGGTGTGCGTGGAGAGATTCACAGATCACACCTCGCACAAGTTGGCCCATCACAATCCAACTGTTAAGCAAGCAAATACCGATGCTTGTGAAACATGACCTGCGAGGGCCAAACAAAAGAACTAGGGACAAGACTCAGTCGGAGCTCCCAGTTTTTATTAGGCCTTATGATTTTAAGCACCAGCTACAAGCCACCTCCAAACCAGGACCCCTCCTGGGGCTGCCTCCACACACCTCACCTCTGGAGAGCTGTTCTTTACTATGTAAACTCGCACCTGAGGTGCAGACACCTGTCGGACCTTTCAAGCCGGACGGGAGCCAACCGTCCCTCATTCTCAGCTGATTGAAGCTGGGTCCCCGCTCCGCTGGACCGATGGGCATACACTAGCTAGCCCCCGCCTCCCGGCCAAACGCGCCCGGGTGATCCGTTGGGTTCTTCGCCCAACGATCCCCTCCGCATCACCCACCCGTCCGCACACTCACGGGCCATGCTGACCACCGGACCGAGCCTGGAAGAGAGGGACTCGGAAAAGCAACGGCTTCGTCGACACTTTGCGGCGGTCCCCACCACTGGATCTAGAAGGCTGAGCCCGCGCCGGCCCTCCGTGGGGCGACGCCTCTATTCAGTCCACCGCCCCGCCCCCTGAGACCAGACCACAGCGGCCGGCGTGGCCAGCGAGCGACTGCGCGTGCGCTGCTGAGCGGGCGGGGCGGACCGCAGCGCTCGCCGATTAGTCGGCGCTCTGGACCCTTCTGCCAGGCAACTTTGGTACAGTCCAGAAAGCAGGTCCTCTGACATAGGAAGGAGTAGGCGTGTGTGAATATTCCCCGCCGTGTACCGGGCACTGGGGCTTGACCATCTCTCACTTTTGGGTAACAAAAACAAACGCTCCAATTCTAACATTCTGACAAAGAACGCTAGCTTTCTTCACCCCTTTCAGCGGCGGGAAGAGGAGAAATGTCAGACAACAGATTGAGGGTTAACTGCCAAATGCAGTGTCCGCCCTTTACTAATTTCCTTCCTATTCTCACACCAACCCGAGAACAATGAAGGTAGGCAGGCTTCATTGCTCTCACTACTCAAGAGGAGACTGAGACTCATACCAGAATCTACTGACTTAACAGGTAGGGACTGGTAGAAGTGAGATAAAGATTTAAGACGGACTCTAAAGTCTGTTCATTTCCCATCTTATCCCACTGCCCCTGCCATGGTCGACGATACTTCATGAATTTTAGGTTAATGGCTCTGCTTGGATTGTGTGAAGGGGAAAGGATGCCAGGGCATGCGATCTTGCCATGCATTCAGAATAAGCCAGAATAACCTTGGAACCTATGTTAAAGCTGTGGAGCATCTGCCATTGCTAGAAACAGACTTGTAAAGATGCTTGATGGCTCATTTGGTTGATACCTATTTTTTTCATCTATTCCGCTAATCATTACAAACTAAGAAATGTGTAGAGTTAGTCTGGACACCCTAAAATTACCCTATTTATAAAAGCTTTTATTCTGGAAAATTTCAAACATATACAAAAGCATAGAAAATACTTCAATGGACCCCAAGTATACATGACCAAGCTTCACTAATTCTTATTTTACCTCATAAAAATCGCCTATTTTAGAGAAGGTAGGAGAACGTGGTGAAGACTGAGAGTTCTGGAGATGTCTGGGTTGAAAGCCCAATTCTACCAATGAATAGCTGTGTGAGCTTGGACACGTTATTTCATTGCATTAAAGCTTCCTTGCCAATGGGGAGGTAGTTGTACCTTCATTAATTGAATTAATATATATGAAGCACTAAAGTGCTCAGCATACAATAGCATTCAATAATGAAGCTATTATTGTCATTTCAATCTCAGAGCCTTGCATGCTTAGTCTTTTTAGGCACCACTTCTCCTCAATACAGTTTACATGTCAGGTGTCTGCACTTAGCAAACCTGTTCTGGAGTAATTTGAGCTGGGGGGAAAGATTGACTTTCTGGCCAGGCTTTTTTTTTTTAGAGACAAAGAGATCAGTTAAAGAAGGAGGGAGAGAAGGAATTTGGAATTGAAAGGTTAAGTGGCAGAGTTCTTGTTTCTTTATGTGGTCTTAATTTACAGTCTAATTGAGCTTTTTCTTTGCAGCTGAAAATACAGTTTTTGAGTTGTAGGGATACACATGATGTACACCATGTACATGAGGAATGTTGGATATATCTGCCAGAAAAAGCTGGAGAATTTTAAAATTACTGCGATGCCATTAAGAATTTACAGATTCAGGTGTGTAACAAATCTATTACAACTTTATATTTAACAATAAAATCAAATCTGACTCTTCCTAATGTAGGGAAGAGGCAAGAGAACCAAAATGTTAAATCAAGCTATATTCAGAGACTGCAATATGCTGATCAATCCTGCAGCCAGACCACGAGGAAACCTGCAGAAAAAAGGAAGATTTCTGCTTAATGGGATTGCTAACAACCCATTTCCCCACACCCTGAAGGGAAAACAGGAAAAGCGGAGTATTTAAGTGGTGCCCTACACAAAATGAAATCGTTCATTCTCTGTGGGGAACCTATGGATCATAGGCTGAGAATTGCCAGCAAGACTTTCATGCTACATACTCCCATCTTTCCTCACTGTAAGTCCATATCAAAGGAAAATGAGTAAACAAAGTCTTTTAACTGTAAAACAGGAACTAAAGATTGACATATAAACTGGATTCCCTGACACTCAGGGCTTTTTCTTTTGTCTAGGTTTTTTTTTTGTCTTTGCTTTCTCTTTTCTTTGCTTTTCTTCTTCTCTAATAAACTTTTCTTTTGACTCTAACTTTGGCATGTGTTTGAATTCTTTCTTATGCTCCATCAAGAACCTTCTCAGTGCAGGGCTTGAGTTTCCCCCCACTGCCCACTCAGGGGTCTTTGCCCTGTCCTGCATCATTCCCATCCCTTTACTAAGGGGAAATTAAATCTTACTCATTGACTTCCTTACCTACAGAATTGTGGGAATACCCTAGACTCTTAGGTGGAAAGGAACATTTGGGGAAAGGCCTTGTGTCTTCAATTTATACCAGGATATGTTGTCCAAAGCTATATGGTTCTGGCAGCTCTAGGTTTCCTGAGACATCTTCAGCAGGGGTTTGTCAAAATCCTGAGTGTCTTTAGGTGTATCTGAGGTCCTGTTTCTTCCACAGAATACTGAAGAAAGCCCACAGAACCCACGGACCTCCATTCTCTTCTTAGTCTTGGAGAAATCTCTTTTTTGTGCTTTCAGCTTTGCTCTGCTATTCTCAAAAGCATGTGTCTCTCTTTCTCCCTCTGGTTGACCTAGTAATCTCTTAAGTAAGTTCAGGATTTTATTCCTTTGACATTTTGTTATTAATGTAGCAGGCCATTCTTGTAGAATCCTTTTCTCCTTCCAAGAGGGCCTTTGTGTTTCCATGAGTCAGGGGATTTTTTTTTTTTTTTAAATGACTACGGCACCTAGTATTCCAATGTTGTCTCCCATGCAAGTACTAAGCAGGCCTGATCCTGCTTAGCTTCCGAGATCAGACGATATCTCGGGGTGGCATGACCCTAGATGAGTCAGGGAATTTGTATTGCAGGTCAGGGTGGCATGACCCTAGATGAGTCAGGGGATTTGTATTGCAGGTCAGGGTGGCATGACCCTAGATGAGTCAGGGGATTTGTATTGCAGGTTCAAACATGACCCATACTCTGTAGAGCCAAACTCAGCTCCGGCCATTTTCTTCCATCATAGAAGCCTTCTCTAATTATCCTACCTTAAGTAAGCCAGCCTCCTATTAATCTCTCATATTACCCTTTATATTTCTGTTATGGCATGTAATACATTGTTAAAGTATCTTGTTCATTTGTTTCTTTTGTATTCTTCTCAACTCAGAATGCCTTATTACTTACTCTACTGCTACCTCCTGAGGCAGATTAAGAATACTCACACTAACTTACAAAGTTTTAACTATAATAATTGTTGAACAGGTAATACATTCACATTAAAAGTTACACAACCATATGCAGTGAATGGTCTTCCATGACATGTTTCCCAGAAACCCAATACCCCACCTAGGAAGTAACTAGTTTCAGTTTCTTCACACCTGAATTTCTAATCTATGTTCTCATCAATTTAGAATTTCTAAGCCCTGGGGATGTGCTGGTGAACAGGCACTGCTCTACAGATCCCTCTGAAAACAAAATCGGCCAGCAATTTTATTTATTTATTTATTGGCGGCAGGGAAGCAGCAGCTGTTGTGGCTTTGAACATGGTTGTCAATGTCACTCTTGGTGACTTCTGCCCAAAACAGCGCTTGGCCAGCGATTTTAATAGTTCTCCTAAAATTTTGGGTCGAGGAGTTAACTACCTTCTTCCCCGCTTTTCAATAACTCTTAAGGACACCTGTAGGGAAGAGCCCACCGCCTTGCGTCTCTATTTCCGGTTCACAGGTAACTCAGACTTTGTAGTTTGACAGTTACCATGGCTTCGGCGATGTGCGTCTTACGTCATTCCGCGGCGCTCACTGATGACGCAGTTAGTTCAGGCGCCCTCTGAGGGCGGGGAGCAAGGTGTACCGGGGAAACTGAGTGTGGCAGGGTCATGAAGAAGAGGCGGCGGCGGGAGGCAGGAGGCGGCGGCGGAGGCGTGAAACTGCGGTAGCTGCCTGCTGGACTGGCTAGTGGCTTTGTGGGAAGGGCGTAGTTACTAATCCCCTCTCCGGGCAGCGGCCGGGGCTCGGGGCTGAGAGCGGCCTTGGGGCCGCCTCCCCGGGCCCCGTGGCTCCGCCATGTTCCGCAGGGCACGCCTTAGCGTGAAGCCGAATGTCAGGCCTGGGGCAGGTGCCAGGACCTCCACTGCCCCCAATCCCCAACGTGGACAAGAGGCTCCCAGGCCGCCGGAGCCTGCAGTGGCTTCTGCCTCGAAGCCAGCGGAGCCTCCAGATGTGCCCTCGGTGGATTTCAAGGGAGCGGAGCCCCAAGAAGAGGCTCCCAGGAGGAGGTAAATGCTTGAAGATGGGAGCATTTTTATCTGCTCCACCTTTCCGGGTCTGTGTATTGGAAGCTGAGCAGATGAACTTTATCGTATGAGTAACTCCGTCGCTTGCACTAAGTCTTACAGTCGAGGCCGGATAAACTCACTGCAAACTGTAGTTTGTCCCTTTGACCACAGGGTATGGCAAATATGGAATTTGTTATGATATGTAGATTGTTGGGGAGGGGACCATATCTTAAGTGGTCGTGGGAAGAATCCAGATGTAACAGTCTTGAAGAATATCCATAGGTGGTGCTATTCATTAGAAAATTTAGGTTACTGTAGTTTTTTTTTAAATTTTGAAAACATTTATTTTTAAAAGAAGACTAGTGTTACTTTGGTCCTGCTGATTTATGTCAGTGGGAAAGAAGGTCTGGGTACTTGCTTTGATTTGAGAGTGTGTTCCTTTAACAAAGTGACCATGTTTTCTGATTTGTCATGTATCGCATTTGGATTCAAGATTGTTATACAGAATTTAACAATTTGGTAGATTTTGCCCAGGCAGAATTTACTCATCTGTAAAATGTGGATAATATTACCTACTTTGGAGAATTATTGTGGAGATTAGAGATAACTGATATAAACCATATTACACAGGGCATGGCAGAATAGTTGCTTACAAAAAGTTATTTGTTTAAAATAAAGGCGATGGAGCAAAGTAATTAAGGACACGTCAGGCTAATGCCTGTTTCTGCACTATGTATGTGAGGAAAACAATAAAAGCCAACCCTATTGAATGACAGTGAGATAGTATAAATTCTGTTTATGCTGTGACTTGAAGGTAAAATTTTATTCCTTTGTTTTTGACTCTACTTCCTAGGCTGGCCTGAACTGGTGCTGGGTGTAGTGTGTTATTTTGCTAGCTTAACGATGCTAAGTAATTTCCAAGTTTCTTTCATGAATTTGTTTCAAAATTCCTCCCCAAAATGGAGTTACAAATACCAATCACTGTTAAAGTTTGCAGAGATCCTTTTAACTATATGTAATGCATGATGATTGATAATTTAATAAATTACTAAGAGTCTATAGTCTTGACATTTAAGCTGGAGGATATTTAATTCTTAGAGTTGACATTTAGGGAGTATACTTTATCGTTTTTTTTCTTTTCTGTGTGTCTTTCTTAGTTGCAAAAATCTATAGAGTCTGTGTTCTATCCTTGTGCATTCAACATAATTAGGCAAAATGCAGATGGTGCATATGTCACATGATAAGGCCTGAGATGAGAATTCAAACTGGAGACTTTTTGGAAAAAGTATACTATAGATTTAGGCATTTTTCCTTTATATTAAAATAACTGCAACATAAGAAAAAAGTAGACTGCTTTTAATTCTTCACTTATACCCTCTTTCTTTTTGACTTAACTTGCTTTCGGGCCATTCTTGTAATATTTATATCCAATCTGAACTATATCTAATATGTAATTTAGAGTGACTGAGCACTTTTTCTGACTGAGGAGTTTAATAGCTGTATGAGTAGAGGTGTGCCTGACAAAAGATAAATGATTTCTGCCTCAAATAGAATTTGGTTTGATTAATGTAGCTAAATGTATATATTCAAATATTGCAATACAAATATTTCAGAGATTTAAAGTTTTATATGTTTAGTTTGACTGCTCTCAGGTCGATAATTAAAGTAAAATGCCGATGATTTAGATCAGTTTTGGAGGACATGAGTATAGATTATAAACTTAATATAAAAAAACTCAGTTATGTAGTGATTAAAATTTGGCTAATTAAGCTTTGTTCCTGTAAGTTAGGGTTTTTTTGTATTTTTTTTTGTTGTTTTTTGAGGGACCTGGCATGACATAAAATGATGTGCTCTAATGTGCTTAAGGACTTGAAGTTTGAAAAGATGAACAGTCTTCATTACAGATCTATTAAAAAAGATTTACTACATCAAAATATTTATTGCAACCTCTGTCATAATGAACATATATCTCTAGTCATTGATATTTTTAGTAATGAGATCTTACTGTTTTGGATTTTTAACTGGTAGTTTTTAAAACTAAAATATTTAAAGGAATATCTGTGATGCTTTATTTTTTCTTTTTGAATTTCCACAGTGATGAAAAGACTGATGGTGAGAATGATGTTGGAGAATCCAATAAACCTTCCTCTACTGTTTCACAGAGAAGAAAGCGAATATCAAGTACTTCTACAGTGGTTAAGCCTAGCGTCAGTGTTCCTTCAGAACCTCATCCCTTATCTACAGTTAATCAAGAAGATTCACAGCCAAACCCCATTCCAACAAAAGAGAAACAGCCATGCTCAGACAGATACCGAATATATAAAGCCCAGAAACTGAGAGAAATGTTAAAAGAAGAATTAAGAAAAGAGAAGGTAAGAGAAAAATCAGAATTTTGACTGTTTCCTGCTAGATTTCTGTTTTATGTGAGTCAGGCATCATTTAGAGACAAAATAAGCGTAAGCATCTGTAGCATTTTTTTTTTTTTAAAGCCTATAGCACTTGGTATTCCTAGGTGTTCTCTAATCCAACTACTGACCAAGCCCAACCCTGCTTAGCTTCCAAGATCAGATGAGATCGTGCACGTTCAGAGTGGCATGGCTGTAGACTATGTAGCATTTTTATGGGGGAGTAAAACCAAATAACGTCCCTTGTGTTAATAGAGTATCCCCTTTTAACAGAATAATTTAGAAGCACTGTGGACTTAAGCTATTATTTCCGTGATATTAACTTTTATATATTTTATTCATTATCTGTCATTGTTTTTGGTGAAGGTCACAAATAGAAGTTTCACACACAGTGAGCATGATTTTATACACTGGGTTTTTGTCCAGTCCCAATCACTTTAGTTTTTAAAATTCCTTAACGTGCTGCAACTTTTTAATGTTCAATTTATAAGATTTTCCCTAAGAGCAGGCATAATTGTGGTAGGAGTAATATTCAGGAACTTGCAACGAATGCAAAAGTGGGCTGTATATTTGAATATAGCACATCTGAAATTCTATATTTATAAAATAAAAGTGGATCTTTGTGTGTGTGTTTGTGTGTGTATATATATGTATCTAGAAGCAATGGAAAAACAAGTATGCCATAAATGAAAGCCAGAGGCCACCAGATCGTTCAAAGATGACTATGAGAGACTTCATATATTACCTGCCAGATAGCAATCCAATGATGTAAGTAAACTTTATTTCTGTTTCATTTTTCTTTGAGTATGTAGTGATTTAAATGTCATTTTTAGAGTACAGTTTCATATTTTCCAAAAACATGTTGATAAAATTTATAGCATACCTGATGTCTTTTTAAATAGGATTTTACAACATAAATTAGTGGTATTTCAAGTAACTGTTTTCTTGGGATGAAAAATGATGCCCTTTACCTCTGAGATTAAAAATAAGTTTCCTTTTTTATATTATAAAGATGTAGTAAAAATAACCAAACTTTTTTCTAATCATGACTGTAATTTTTATTTCTTGTATAGTATAACCTGATCTAAAGGGGTGATCTAATTTTTATGCTCTTTTAATTAAATGCAGTGGCACTTGATTAACAAATCCTCCAAGAACAAAGCTTCTTTAATCAAAGTTAGCCTGGAGAAGCAGAGGGTTTATGATAAATCTCATATTTGTGGTGTTGAAGGTTTAGCCAGTGGATGTAGGAGTAGTGGCATATTTTCAGTACAGCCTTTTTCAGGTTCACTAGGGCGTTGGCCTAGTCGAAGAAAGGCCAGAAACCGAGGTTTTGATTTGTTTGACAAGCCACTAGGTTGCTTCATGATTCAGACTGGGAGCCTCCCTTCATTGAGGAATTAGAGGGTAATAGAGTTCCCTGCTTAGGGCCTAACAAATTATTTATACTTGATGATAAAAGTTTTTGACTGAAAAATTGACTGTTGAGACAAACCATCATTAATAGTAGTGTTATGGTATATCATTAAAAAAATGCAAATTAAAATAATTTCCTTCTTGCCTATACATAGAATTGACAAAATATAAATTAACTATTTATTAAAAAGTTTTCTGTTATTCGCGGTTAATAGTTCTTCACTGGAGCAAGAAAAGAAAACTGAAAAATCATTGACACCAATCCAGATGAGAGAGTAAGCATTTTATCTCACTCTTTTTTGAATATATTCTGGTGTGGGTACATTTTTTTAAAAAGCGAAATCAAGTGATACTTCCTTTTGTAGTTAAATTTCATGTGATAGGAAATTTTAAATAGAATCTCTAACAAGAATAAAAGTTGCTGTCTGATTAAATTGGTAAGCAAACCCTACACTCTTTGTGTATTACATATATAAATGACCAATGTTATGATTTTAAATGAAAGCTTTTATAATTAAAAGGGGTTTTGTTTTGCTTTAGAATAGTAATATATTCACATAGCACAGAATTCAAAAGGAACAAAAGTATACTGAGAAAAAGTCTTCCAACTCTGTTTTTCTGCCATCTTGTTCCTCTCCCTGCAGGCAACAAATGTTACTAATTTTTTAGTGTATCATTCTAGGTCTAGCCTATGTTTATTTAAACAAACATGTATATAGTACCCTTCCTTTCTCTTCCTTTTCCTTCTCTCCCCTCCTCTGCCCTCCTTTCTCTTTTTCTTCCCCCTTTTATCCCTTTTCCTTTCCCCTTCTTGTCCCTTTCTTAGCATTCTATGTAGGGTGTCCTGTAGTATGTGTAGTTTTGATGTCACTAGAGAGTTTTTTCTTGCAAGCTCCCTGTTGCCTTCCACATTGCACTGTCATGATGGTATCCAAAGAAATCCCTCCAAGAGATCTCTTAGGAAGTTATTGTAGCCTTGTAATTCAAGGTGGGGGATTATGGCAAATTAGCAGAAATATTGGGATTTTCTGGTTGTTACTTCAAGGTTTATTAAGTAATGATTACTGTTTTACTTGAAGTTTACATTGTTTTAAAACAGAATCTCAAGCTTTACAAATCAGTTACGTTTTTTATAGATTTATAAGTTATATTTGTTTCAATAAAACCTTAAGGAGACAGTGTAATTAAATGGAAAGTATGTGGGACTTGGAGTCGTTATTTGGAAAACTGTTTGGCTCTTGCTGTCCACTTACTGTTGTGTAATCTACAGCAAAAGTTACTTATCTTCAAGCCTCAAATGAGTATGAAAATACTCAATCCTCAAGGGTTGTTCTAAAGAGTTAATAAAATGATCTGGAAACTAGTACTATACAAATGTGAGAGTTATTTTTTGTTAACTGTATAATACCTGGATGGTTTACTCTGATAGTCAATTGAGATAGAAAAGATGAGCATTTATTTCTCTTTATTTTCAAAGAAAATAAAGGCTTCTTATTAAATGCTCCCAGATAAAATTTGAGAAAATCTTATAACTATGTCTTTAACAACACATAGTATTTTCAATTAGGTTATAGGGAAAATTAGAAATAGATAAAATGTTGGATTTCCAATAATTTACTTTAGAAGTTCATAGTAGTCAGAAGCATTTCTCATGGGTATATGAATTAACTATGTTTACATATGGTAGGCAAGAAGGTAAGAGTACTCCTGATACTGAAGATAATGAAGAACTAGAAGAAGACCTGGATGATGGCCCATTGCTGGTTCCCCGAGTAAAAGTGGCAGAAGATGGTTCTATAATTTTGGATGAAGAAAGGTAAAAAAAGAGAGAGATGTGGTGTCATAAGAACTAAAGTGCTTTGTCTAATGAGAAAGATTGAGTTTCTGTATCTATTATTGTCACTTAGACAACAATGTTTATATTTGCATAATGGATATTGTAAATAGATGTGTTAGATTCGTTTCTAATTTTTAGCAATTTTTATAGCTTCATATTTTGTATGAGAAGATGATACTCCTGACCTATAATCCATTAACTTACCACCATTGTTTTACTAACTTTACTGGTAATTGGAATGAGTTGTTGCGCTAATCTCATGCTGTCCTCCACTGAAGATAGATTTCAAAAATTGACTCAGTCTTGAAGTCAGTATTCAAGTTTTCATGCTATTAACTAATACCATATTCTAATGTATGATGATAACTAAAGATACAGTGAAATACAGGTTTAGCATTTTCTGAGTTTTGTTATGGTGAGGTTTAATTCTCTTCCTGGTTCATTTTCTCATGATATTAGATTTCTCAAATATGGCATTGTCTTTCCAAAGTATATGTATATTTTTAAAAGAAGATAGTTCGGTAAAGAAATAAAAAAGAGGGATGGGAAGTTCCGACAGTTTAATTAATAAAAAAATCGTAGCATATAAGTTCTGTGATAATTAAACATAAATGTAATACTGTCAGTAATTGTTTTTCCATGTTTTCCATTATTTTGTGATGATTTTACTGGATTAAGTAGTTAAAAGCATGTTTAACTGCTTTGTGTGCAGGAATGTAAAACATAAATATGTTTCTTAGTATCTCTTGTTGGGTTTAGCATGGTAAGATAATATGCATTAAAGGAGACATGCAGAAGTCAGTAAAACAAATGTTTTAGGTGGTCCAAAGATATTTTCTTAATTTTATATTGCTTTTAACGATGAAAAAAAAGTTGGCATTTATTTTACTGCTTGGCAATCACATTTTAAGTAACAGTGAGCGGTTTCTTAGAAACTATGCATACCTCAAATGTATATTATACTTTTGATGACTCTGCCATGATGAGTTTCAAAATATCACTATTCAGATATCATTTACTATTTGTTTCCTTCCTGTTTTTAGTGTGGATCTATTTAAAAATGTGTTTCTTTCAGTTTAACTGTAGAAGTTTTAAGGACAAAAGGTCCCTGTGTTGTTGAGGAAAATGACCCCATATTTGAGCGTGGTTCTACAACTACATATTCAAGCTTTAGGAAAAACTATTACTCTAAACCATGGTCAAATAAAGGTAACTGATTTTCATTTTAAATTGTGTAGGTCATTTATTTGAAGTTGAAGTGAAATATTTTCTGAATTAAACCAGGTCTCTTCTAAGTAAATAAAGTGCAAACTACTATGTTATTTTTTCTTTAGCTAATTTTATTGGTACTTTCCCCCCTCCCCCCACCATGGAACTATATCTCTGACTTTATCTTAAAAATCTTTTTTAGAAATTAGCATTATGGTCATTTTGGCTGGGAATATTTTTATCAAATGCCTGTACAAAAAATACTGCTTTAATGAAAAATTAACAATATTTATAATGTTTGTAATGCTTATAATAATATTCTACCTCAGATAGTATTGCACAATAAAGTTTCTAAAAGTAAAGATTATGCTGTTAAAATATATAATACTTGTTGCATACTGTTGCTTATTTTTTATTATTGAAATAATACAGTTTTGGGAAAAAAATTCAAACACAACAATAATATATAGCAAGAAGATTCTTTACTTCTCTGACTTCCCCAGTCTTAGTCTCTCGAAATTACTTCTGATAAGTTTTTTATATATTTTTCTAGCTAATTTCTTTCACATACTACTAAGTACATCTTAGTTGCTTATGTAGTGCTAATATCGTACTGGCTATGACTGATTTAGAGACCAGATATGCAGGATGTCTTTTTTTTTTCTTTCTTTTTTTTAATTCTAGCTGCTTTAGTATGAGCATGCATATTTCTTACACCATGTTTCTGTATAAAAGTTTGAAGATGTTTTTAGATCCATGAGGTTGTTTGCAATAAAATTGAAGTATATAGACATATTTTTATGACTAAACATTTACTGGACTTTAACACAAAACTATTAAGTACCATCAAATTTATTTTTAGCTCAGTATATATGTTTAGATAAGATTATTTCACCTTTGCAGTATTGAGAAGATTAATTTTCAGTCTTTCAAAATCTTTTATTTTTACAGAAACAGATATGTTTTTTTTAGCCATCAGCATGGTAGGAACTGACTTTTCTATGATTGGACAGCTTTTTCCTCACAGAGCAAGGATAGAAATTAAGGTAAAGTAAACCCATTACATTTGTTGATTGGAAAGAGGCTAAAAATTACTAACATTTTTTTAACCTTTGGTTTAAATCTCAGTCCACCTTTTTTCACTATTATGTTTTTGGTAAACCTATTTCTTGTTATAGCTCAAAAGTAATGTAATATTTCTTAATTCTAATGTGAATACAATTTCCTTAACAGTAGTATTATATTTTTTATTTATATTTTGCCCACTTCTAAAATGTATTTGAGAGAGTATCAATAAAGCCTCTGAAACTAAGATATAAGGAGAGTTAGATAATGAAGAAGGAAAATAAATGTACTGTACATTTGGGTTAAGGGCAGCTTTATGATCACAAAATATATTTCTGAATTTCCTAGGAAGTCATGAAGAGAAGCATGCTAAGTTACATAGTTCTCATTTTCTGATCTAACATTGCTTTCCTAGGCTACCTTAACTGTTGGACAACCAATGACACTATTAACAAAAGCAGTGATGTCAATTAGTGCTTCAGTATGCCTAAAAGGATGAACTTTCTCTGTTTTACAGTTCCTTTTGTTGAGAACCTTCATTACAAGTTTCCTGTGTTGAAGTGCATTTGAGTGCTCACTATGTTGCCATAACACATTTCAAATTGATAGTGAGATCTTTATCCAACCATGGACTTTTTCCTTCATTAAAGGAACCATTAGGAAATACTGACTTTTATTTTTTTCCCTTGGACTAGGCATGGATTGGTCTTACCTGGGGAGCATTGTGCCGTGTAATGGTCATTATATTTCTACAAAAAATGAGAAGTTGTTTATATTTTTTAATGTGTTTTCTAATGTTGATCTTTGATATAAGCAGAACAAAATGTTAAAGTTCTGTGAAGGCTAGAAATTGTCTAGAGGAGCTTATTTAAGTAGTTAATGATAAATTTGTCACTAGACTATTTCTCTCAAAAATAGTTTAGACTATTCCCTTAAAAGTTTAGTGTGGTTTCAGTGGGTCATTGGGCAAAGTGTAGAAAAGTGAAAAGGGATAGTGAATTACATTGCTTTTTGAATGTTGAACCAATCTTGGATTTCTGGGATAAATCCCATTTAGTCATACCGTATTATTTTATTTATATGTTGCTGAATTCTGTTATATTTTCTTGAGTATTTTTTGCATCTTTGTTATGAGGGATATTGGTTTGTAATTTTTTTTTTTTTAAAATAACACTTTTATTCTCATAGCTTTGGGGGCTGAAAGTTCAAGATCAGGGTGCCACCATGGTCAGGTTCTGGTGAGGACTGTCTTCTGGTCGCAGACTTCTCATTGTATTCTACCATGGAAGAAAGAGAGCAAGAGCTTTCTGGGGTCCCTTTTATAAGGGCACTCATTCTATTCATGAGATCTTCACCCTCGTGACCTAATTACTTCCCAGATGCCCCATCTCCTCATACCATCACAGTGGGGAGTAGGATTTCTTTTATCTTTTTTCCTTAAAACAATTTTTTTTTTTTAGTTGTGATTCCAGTTCATTTTATCCTCTCCCTCCTCCTGCCTTTGGCAGCCACCAATCTTCTTTGTATCTACAAGCTTGGTTTTTGTTTTGTTTTGTTTTTAGATTCCAATATAAGAGAGATCATATGGTATTTGTCTTTCTTTGTCTGACTTATTTCACTAAGCATAATACCCTCAGGGTCCATTCATGTCACAAATAGCAAGATTTCATTCCTTTTTATGGTTGAATAATAATTCCACTGTTCATGTGTGTATGTGTATGTGTACACACACACGTGTGTGTACACATACACACAATTTATCCATTTATCTATCAGTGGACATTTAGATTGTTTCCGTGTCTTGGCTTTTGTGACATGGGGGTACAGATTATCTTTTTTAGTTACTGTTTTCATTTCCTTCAGCTGAATACCCAGAAGTGGAATTGTTGGACCATATGATAATTCTATTTTTAATTTTTTGAGGACCTTCCATACTGTTTCCCATAGAGGCTGCACCAGTTTACATTTTCACCAGCAGTACACAAGGGCTTCCTTTTTTCCACTTCCTTGTCAACATTTATTTCTTGTCTTTTTGATATTAGGTATTCTAACAGGTATGAAGTGATATCTTATTGTGGTTTAGATTTACATTTGGTTATGCTTTTTTTATCCAGTCTGACACTCTGCCTTTTAATTTAATTTTATTATATATTGCATTTCTGTGAGAGAAGAGAAAACGTTCATTGTATTCTTTTATTGACCCTTGATAAAATTAAAACAAAATATGTTTTACATTTCTATGTAATAATTTAGTTCACTTATATTTAATGTAGTTCACTTATATTTAACGTAGTAGTTGATATGGCTGTGTTTAAGCCCACTATCTCACTATTTTCCATTTATTTCATCTGTTTTTTTATTCCTCTTTTTCTGATGCCTTTTGGTACTCCAACTATTTTTTTAGTATTAGTTTTATTTTTGCTTGTACCATTTTACTCGTATACTTCACAAATAATAAACTCTTTACAAGTATAATTCCATTTACCCTCCATCTTTGTACTATTACATATTTTACTTCTAAATACCTTGTAAACCCCACATTACAATGAACTTAACTTTAGCTTAAAGAGTCTTTTGTTTTTAGAGGAAATTGGGTAGAAAAAATAAACTAGTCTTTACTATTTAGCTACATGTTTACCATTTTTGGTGGTTTTTTCATTTTAAATCTGTCTCAAAGGTAGATCTGTTGTTGAAAAATTCTCGGTTTTCCATATCTCAAAGTCTGTATTTCAGTCTCATTTTTGATGGATATTTTTGCTGGACATACAAGTCTGGTTTGGACAGTTTTTCCTTTCAGTGTTTTAAAAATATTCCATTGACCAGTGTTTCTGATGAAAAGTCACTCATCATTTATACCATTCTTCCCATGTATGTGATGGATTGTTTTTCTGTGGCTGTTTTGAGATTTTATTCTTTAACTTTGGTTTTAAGCAGTGTAATTATGATTTGCTTAGTGATGGTTTCTTTTAATATTTTTTCTGCTTTATTCTCTCCTGGGACTCTGCTTACTTGTATTTTTCTGCATGACATTGTACTACAGGTTACTAAAGTTCTGCTCATTTTTTTTCAATCTTTTTTCTCTTTCAGTCTGTTTTTTCTCTATTACCATATTATAAGTTCACTGACCCTGTCTTCTGCTGTCTTCAGTTTGCTGTTAAGCTCATTCAGTGAATGTTTAATTTCAGTATTATATTTTTTATTTCTGTAATTTCTACTTGGTTATTTTTCTTAGTTTCCATTTCTCTGCTGAGATTTACCTATCTGGTCATTTTTTATTTTTCTTTAAATCCTCAAACATGTTTTTAACAGGTACTTTGACTTTCTTGTCTACTTATTTTAAATATCAGGGTCATGTTGGGATCTGTTTCAACTGACTTTTTTTATTTCCTTGACTGTGCATCACATTTTTCTATCTTTTCGTGTGTGTGTGTGTGTGTGTGTGTTGTGTGCTGGCCATTGTAGATGATGTGTGTACAGTGTCTGGATTATGTTTTTTTTTTTTTCTTTAAAGAGTGTTGACTTTTGTTTATAGAAGGCAGTGAATGCACTGCTAACTCTCCTCATTCCTCTCAAGGCTTGGTTTTAAGGCAGCTCTAGACTGATCCTTAACTCTACATTTCTCATCTGAGCAACAGAAAATAAATGGAGTTGCTGTTTTCTAGTTTCTCCAAGGATGGTCATGTACTAATATGACCTTCCTTGGAGAAGGTAATTTATTACATAAAGTGGGTGCCTTAGGGCCTTAGGGCTTAAGTCTCATGCTAGAACCTTGATTGAGAAAGTCCATTCTTGAGTGTGGTCTTTATTTCTAAGTGATGGCTTTACTGATGTCTCGTAAATGTCTGGGTTTTAACAAAGTCTTTTCTTCATGTAGGCTAGAAATCTGTCATCCTACTGTGTTATGTGACTTCTAGTATCTTCCTTCTGCTTTTGTTCCTATAGTAACTGTTCTCTACTAGGCCTCATACTCTGGGCATATGCAACTAGATATTTTATAGACCAAGACATGGGGTGCTTCCACCAGGCTTGTGAGGCTCCCTTTTAAATAACTGTCTTCTCTTTAGTACCCTGCCCCTGAGGATTCTCTATTCCTAAGCTCAGTAGGATCTCTGTGTTCTCTTTGGCCTTTGTCTCCCTTTCATTGGTTAGGAAATTTAGCTCTGGCAGAGAGCCAGGGTGAATGTTAGTATATCTTGTATGTTTCCCTTCTGTCCAAGATTATGGATTTATAGTCCTTCTTGTTCTGCCTGTTGTCCAGTGCTTGGAAATAGTTGATGCATTTATTTTGTTCGTTGTTAATTTACAGTGTGGTTGGATTGTGTGGGACAAACCCGTAACCAGTTACATTGTCAGGGTGAGAGGTCGAGAATATAGGATTTATTTTGTGATCATGAAATTTGACCTACAGTTTGACCTAATGTACTACTAATAAACATTCTTCAACAGACTTTTAAATTGTTCTGAATTCTATTCCCGGTTAGATAAAATATGATGTGGCAATATTTTACAACTGGATGATTCATAAAGCCTATTGGCATTTCTCTCAGGATGTTTAATTTAGTGATTAATTTAGCCTGTCACTTTTTATAGATGTAACTTTTGTTAACTTTTGAGATGTTTAAAGAATAATACGATTTTTTAAGGGAGAAAGATGGTCATCCTTGAAAACTTTTGTATTACTTGGTGATAAGTTTTATGAAGAAAAATAAAGAATGAAAAAGAGTAATCTGTAGTTTAAAAGATGTTAAAGTTATATGAAATTTTTAAAAAATGGGCAAGGGTAAACTACAAAGCCTAAGGATGTACCCTTGAATGATAAACAGTAAGGAAATATAAGAAAATAATTGCTTTAAAATTCAAGGTTAGGTTCTTGTGGAGGAAAGAAGGGGGCCATAAAGTAACTACTTAGTTCCTTTCTTTTATGTGCTTTTTCCTATTCAATAAAAAGTTTAATTTTTATGTTCTTAATAAAAGGTTTAGACCACTGATCTGTAGAAGGGAGAGATTAACTGATTTTTCTCTCTCCTGGAGGTATACATATACAGTGTCTGGATTATGTTTATAGGTATACATATACCTCCAGGAGAGAGAAAAATCAGTAGACAAACTTATGCCCTCAGACATCCTAATAATGTAAGGATGGATTGAGTCTTAAAACCCTTGTATCTCCATTGTAATGGAGTTAATCTGGAGTGGAACTGGGAATGGGATATGAAGAAGTATGCCTTAATATAAAGAAGATTCCAAAGATAAACTTGGCCTGCTTCAAAATTTTGCTTAATTGTTCCATTTCAGTCTCATCTCCATGCCATTAAAACATTGGAATAATAATGTAAGAGATTGAACTTGGTATGAATATGTAAGTTGTTAGAGAGTTAATACTGGTCAGCTTAATTAACTATAGGTTTGTTCTGCTTCCATGCTAGTGGACTTTATTTTTTCTATCCTTTAAATCCAGCTTCTATTGCTGATTCATGTTATTGATCACAAAGAGGATCAGGAAGCTCTGTATAAATCTTTCATCCCTATTTTTAAAAAGCTAAAAATGAAAGTAACTTACCTATTGGCAAAGACATTTATTTGGGAATGATGTTACTATAAGAGGTTCATTTTAATGCTTATTTTTTTAAAAAACATAATCCTCACTTGTTTAATGGCAGAAAATTACTATAAGTTTTTCTGTTTTGTTAACAGAATAAGTTTAAACGGGAAGAGAAAACAAATGGATGGAGAATAGACAAAGCATTCCGTAAGTATTAAGAGCTTTTTTACAACGGATCATTTGGAGATCCTAAAAAGCGACTAATCTTTTGTCTTTGGTTTCATCGTGTTTTAGATTTGTTTTGTCTTTATATTATCTTAGAAAGAATAAGATTGGAAACTTTTTTTAGCCTTGTGGGTCTGGCAGCTGATACAGGTTTATAGTCAGGGATTAGCTAAAACATCAAGAAGCAAGTGAGCAGAGTTCTGAGTTCAAGAAGTTACAGATGGATGAACATACCATTTCTAAGTGCTCATTATTCTGAGGGAGCTGTATTCAAGAAGGAGTTAATTGTTGCTGGAAGATACACTATAGATCAGCGGTCCCCACCCTTTCTGGCACCAGGGACTGGTGCTCCTATGAGAATCTAATGCCTGATGATCTGAGGTGGAGCTAAGGGCAGTGATGCTAGAGCTGGGGAGTGGCTGCAAATATTGATGAAGCTTCACTTGCTCACCTGCCACTCACCTCTTGCTGTGCAGCCCGGTTCCTAACAGGTCGTGGACTGCTACCAGTCCACAGCCTGGGAGTTGAGGACTTCTGCTATAGATGATTACTTCCAGTGGTCATTCAGTTATTTAATCAATGTTATTAAGCACCTGCAACGTGTTAGTCACTGTTTAGGCATTGAGGATATAATGGTGAACAGATCAGATGAGAATCTTGCTTTTAGAGCCTCGAGTCTAATTGGGTGGGGGAGAGGATATGGTTTGTAAGCATGATAATTTCAGATAGTGATTAATTTTTCAGAAAAAGGAAAAAGAAGGAATTAGGTGGACGAATATATAGATTGGGTGGTCAGGGAAGTTCTATCAGAAGAGATGACATTTGAATTTAGACTTGATTTGAAGGAATGATGTATACCTTTCAGCTTCTGATAGCCTCATTAAAATTAACAGTTTTTTTCTTCTCAAGTCCAGAGAAAGACATCAAGGGATCTGTAAAGAAAAACAGAGTTAAATGTCCTGTTTAAAGTAGTTACTATGTGTTTGGAAGATAATTATCAACGTTTCATGATTAACAGATATATTCACTGTCTATTTGCTGTAGTACTAATCTTAGAAAAAGAAAATCTGTTTATATTTTTATTTTATTTTTTAAAAAATTTTTTTAGGCGAGGCAACCCTTGATTGACCTCACAGATTGCAAGGATCTTGTCAGCTTTCAATCCCTTAATTTTTATTTTTTACGCCTACAGCACCTAGTCTTCCTAGGTGGTCTCCCGTCCAAGTGCTAAGCAAGCCTGACCCTGCTTAGCTTCCGAGATCAGATGTGATTGGGCTTGTTCAGGGTAGTGTGGCTGTAGACAGAACAAAAAAAATCTGAAGAGATTTTTTTTTGAGTAAACGCTAAGGTAGGTGAGTGGGCTCTATACCCAATGTTATATTGAGTCTTCAAGGAAACCACTTCCAGGAATGGCCCTTGGAAGATCTGGTAGATTGTGGTTCTCAACCTTCTTCATTTTAGAGTTGTGTCCTGAAATTTTTCATTATGTTTTACTCATTATAATCAGAAAATAATTTATAAATCTGTAAACCATCTTTGTGGGGTGCAGAAACATTGTTAAAACCATTATAGTAGATACCTTTACAATTCATTGATTTTTGTGCTTTGTAGTGAAAGTAAAAAAAAGAATAACCTAAATGGTGTTTTTTAGAACTTAAATTTTGAATCCCTCTGAGAACCTTTTACAGATTATTTTAGTTCTGTGTGTTTTAGAATCATCATTGTGGAAGGTCAGAACAGCTAAAGGCTGCGTCTACAATAAAATGGCCTTTAGGAATCCCAGATTTGGGCAAGGTTTCTTAGCGCTAATTTGTTTTTGTTTTGGCATATACCTCTTTTTCTGAGGCCTTCTTATGATCATCCTGTAATCAAACCATCTTGGAGCTTATGTACATAGAGCACCATTTTGTATTTATTCACTATATTTTAGAGTAGACATTAGGCAAAGATTTAACTCCTGTAGTAGATTTATTCCTGATTTGTTCACAGATTGCTCTTTCTGATAATAGTGTTCTTGATGGGTGTTTAGTGAGAGTGGTCCTGATTAATACTCATTTGCCTCCCTCTTTGCTGCTGTTTGGAAGAGTAGAGTTAATAATGAAAGGATGTGGTAAAGAGAGAGCATATGGTGGTACATAGGCTTTTGAGGACTTCTTGGTCCTAGGCTTTTTTAAAAGTTGATTTATAGTTTACACACAGTGTAATTTGTAGTTTGACTTTTGACAGCGGTGGTGTAATGACTACCCTAAACAAGATATGGAACATTTTCATCATTCCAGAAAGGCCCGTTATTTCCCTTTTTAGTCAATCTCTGCTGCTATCCTGACCCAGGACCACCACTGTTTTTATTTGAATCATCGTAGATTAGCTTGTTTCAGAATGTCTTATTCATGGAATCATACAGAATGTACTCTTTTGTGTCTGGCTGCTTTTATTCATTGTGTTTTTGAGATTCACCTGTATTGTTGCTTTTATCAGTAGTTCTTTTTTTTAAAGACAAATAGTTTGTTTCTTCTTATTGCTCAGTTGTCTGTTGTATGACTGTACTATAGTTACTAGAGCTGCTTATCCATTCTCCTGCTGATAAGCCCATTTGCTTTTGATAGTATGATACTTTTTTAAAAAGCTTGAAAGTTTTGTCCTTTTTTAAAATAAAAATTTGAAGGTTCTTTTTTTTTTTTTAAACAGAGGAAAAGCGCCCTTTTGACTTCGATTTTTTTGCTCATTTGCTTCAGAAAGTTCTTGCTGAAGAAGAGAAAAGAAAACAAAAATCCATTAAAAATCAGATTTTAAAGGAGAAGAAATCCTCTAAACCACGGAAAAGTGTAAAAGGTATTTATTTTAAAAGGAAGTGTTTTATCTTACTTGATAGACTTGCAATATTGTCTCAAGTCTTTGAGCATTCATGTGTAGTTCAGATAGTTGAAATCATCGGGGCATCCAGTTAGAGGGAATTGCTTTTTCTTTAATCTTCCAGTTATCTGACATAAAACATCAGCTCCCTTTTAAATTTTATAATTGGTGTGGCTGGGCTATTTGAGAATTCTCTTGCATCTAGAGCATAGTTGTAGCTAATAAAAGAACATCAGAATTTTGGAATGTCATGTTTGGTTACTATTCATCTGTAAAACAAATCTGGCACAAATTTTTAATATTTAAGAAAATGGAAGGAATCTAATACTTTGAGGTTGTGACTAAATTGTATTGTTTGAGCATAACTTATTTCTGAGAGTTAATGTTGACTTGTATGAGGGAGAAAATTGTTGATATATAGTTGACTATTTGAACTCTAATCTATGAGGGCAATATTTAGCTATAATCACATGATGTAAGGATTCTGGGAACTACAGGGATCCTTATATGTTAGCTAGTCTACATTGCAGCCCCTGTCTGTTTGTTTTAATTACCTAGAAATATCCCTGCAGATCTTAAGTCTCTTTTCCTAAGGTCTCACAGTGTTAGTAGTGGCAGAGGCAGGACTCAAATCTAGGACGAGGAGAGCCTGTTTTGTGGGTCCATAAGACCACCCCTAGGTTTGATTATTTGCTAGGAGGACTTATAGGATTTGGCATACAGTTGTAATATCAGCTGAGATTTATTACAGTAAAAGGATACAAAGCAAAATCAGCAAAGGGAAAAGGCACATGGGTATAAGTCTAGGGGAACCCAGGTACAAGCTTTTATGAGTTCTCTCTCATTGGAGTCACAGAGAATGTCCTTAATTCTCCCATCACGAAGTTGTGACGAGATATGTAAAAAGTTGTCTACCGGGAAAGCTTGTTAGAAACTCAGTGCCCAAGGTGGCTGGTCATGTAGACACCCTCTGCCTGGCATGTACCAGAATTCAAGACTCCCAGAAAGAAAGTGTTTATTCAGCATAAACCACATTGTACCATTTAGGTACAGTGAGCCATTTTTGTCAGGCTGATTAGAACTCTCCTCAAACCTGAGTTCCCAGACACAGCCAAAGGGCCAGCCTTTTAAATCAGACCTTTCAAAGGACAGTCTGTATTATGTTAACTTACTCTGTACAAAGCCAATCTAGAATTTCCTGGAGTATGGTACTTATATCTTTTTAAAAGTAGTATTTGTAACTGAAAAATTACTTCACTCTTGAATCAACTTTTTTTTACTTATTATGCATAGCCCTAAGAGATTAAAATTGATGTATTAATCTTGTGATTATCATGTTATAAGCGATAGCACAAGTAACTCACTATTTTATGTGAGAAATTTTTAAATATATTATTACAAGTCTCAGAATTTAAAAATTGCTGATGATTATTCAGATAGAGAATAAATCTAGTATTTTCTCAGTTTTAAAATCTTGTTTTGACTTTTTTTTAAACAAAAGTAAAGGACATTTTTATTATTTTTGAAGATTAGTTATTTTTAGAGATAACTAATCAACCATGATTGTGAAGTTAAGTTTGCTTTTGGATTAGATGCTCTTTCCATGGTAATCTCTGTTTTTGGTTTTTATTTTTTGATAGAGTTGACTCTTAATACATCTTTAAAGAAAAGGCACTAGAAATTGTTTTAAAATATTTTTGTTAAAAGATTGTTTATTGAAAAAACAAATGATATAGGAAGTGAAATTCTTGGACTCCCTCAGCTACCCTGTCTTCAAATCAAAATCATCAAATTTCCTGGGGATGACTATTACTAAATATCTTTCTATGCGTGTGTGTGTGTTTTAGAGTGTATGTACTTGTTTTTATTTTGTAAAAATGAGATCATACTACATATTTTCTGCAAGTTAATTTTTTTTACGCAACAATATTTTTTGGAATCTGTTACATCACTACATATAAGCCTGCCTTGTTATTTACTGCATGACTTTTTATAGCATAACTTAGTATTTCTCTGTTGGACATTTTATGTTGTCTTCAAAATTTTGCTCATGTAAGTAATGTTACAGAGGACATCCTCGAGTATTTATCTTCTCAATGTTTAAAAATTTTTCTGAAAGTTTTCTATATGTTTATAACCATTTCTGTAATTTTTCAGTGAAAAAAGTTGCCAGTGAAGGAGTCAGTGATGATCCAGATGAGTCTATGAGTGCTAAAATTTCGGACACAGAAGAAACTCAAAAGGATGCTCAGACAGTTAGACAACAGTCTCTGACTTTATCAGGACAGGATTCAGAACAAATTGCATTAGAACCAGACCTAACTCAAAAGAAAAGGAGAAGGAAGAATCAGGATGAAGCTGGTAAACAAGAAGTAAAAAATGTTCCTGGAAATGCCATTGTTCAGCCAGGTGCTTCTAAAGGAGAAAAACAGAAAAGTGAGTTTCTTACATATTTTAATAGTCTCTGTATTACTGAGAACATCTGTACAATAATAGGTGTGTGACAAATACTTTCTTTCTGGATAGTAGCAATTAATGCTTATTTATTGATTCTATTTATGTACTGTGTTAACCCTTTTATTTTTAATTTAGTAGAAGAGGTGTTTAGTGTAAAAGTAACAGTGAAATGGGGAAATTTTTTTTCTGGTTTATCTCTAAGATGTGTTACCTCCTTTCTACTCCCATTAACAATGATTAGAAGTCACATCTGTATGCTGCAGGTTCTTGAATAACATTTTATTCAACATTTTGTTATAAAGTGATGAGGTGCTGTAGGAGCTTAACTCTTGTTTATATCAATTAGCCTGTGGTAAAATTGGTTTTGTTATATGTCATTTCACCTCAGTTCCAAGAACCTGTCAATGTTAAGTGGGTACTTACTGTAGTTAACTGTATATTGCTTATATCTGTTATGAAATCACAGGTTTTTATGTTACCTTGTCAAAGCACCTTTGGGAACCCACATAAGTTGTTCAATTTCTATAAAAGAGCTCCTGGATTAAGTATTCCTCCCATTTTTCATTTTTTAAACTTAGAATGCAGACATATTGATACTTATGAGTTGCTAGGGAAAGTCTTGGTCTCTTTCTTTAAGAGTTTATATATAGGTTACTTAAAGCAGATACTCAAGAGAGGAGAAAAAGATACTAGCAGACCAGAACAGCCTTTCTATAGGATTTAAATTTTATGTAGTTCAGCTTCACCAATATGATTTTAATAAATGAATCGTGATAGGTAGAATAGTATAATATGTAGGCATCACAATATTATGTTCTTTTGGACTTGCTATTAAAAACATTACATATAAAGCAAATTTGCTCAATAATTAAGAAATTGGAAGTTGAGCAGACCTTGGTTTAGATTCCAGCTCTTACTTTGCTAAGTATAGCCTTGGGCAAGTCACTTAAGATCTTTGAACTCAGATTCTTTTTCTCTGTGATGAGGTTAATATTAATACCTTTTGGTAGGCTTGTTTTGAGTATTAAATTAGATGTTCATCTAATGCACAGAGTTTCTGTCACTTAATGTGTACTCAATAAATGATAGCTATTACTGTGTTATTAATTATGACACTTCTGAAGAATAGCCAAATGCATTTTAAGTTTCCTAACTAGACATATATACAAGTTGATTTAATCACTTAAAAGTTAAGCTAGATAAAAGGAGGATGCTACAAACTGAGAAAATTTGGCTGATCCTCAAAATACAGTTGTAAGTTGATTTTTCGTTAATGTTCTAAAAATATCTGTCCCTTACCTTAGGAACTTGAATGTTGAATGGATTACTGATTTATAAGAAAAGATAGTTATATGTAAATTCATTTTTGATTTAAAATATAGATGTTTTAGCTGTCATTTTTTAGAGTAACGTGCATTTTATGTTCATAGATAAATGTCAGTCTTCAAGGCCAGAGATAAATAAAGATGAAGGTAATAAGGAACAGAAGCTTTCCTGTGTACAAAACATAGATGACATTGAAGATTTATCATCTAGTGATGAAGTTGAGGAAAAAACTGACCCTATCCTTTCATCAAGGTATTTTATGTCTTTCCTGACTTTGTCTGCATCTATTGTCAGTTATTCAGAGAGGAGTGTTAAGTCTCCAGCTGTAATTATGAATTGGCTTGTTTCTCTTTTCAGTTGCATTTGTTTTTCCTTATGTATTTTCAAGTTTGTTGTTAGGTGCATTCATATCAAAGATTGTTGTATCTTGGTGAAATCACTCTTTTATCATTTGTGTGATATTCTGGTATTGCCCTTTGTTCTGATGCTTACCTCGCCACTACAGCTTTCTTGTGATAGTGTTTGCATGGGTTTATAATTTTCTATAAGGATTTTCTCTCTGCTTTCGATTTTTAGCAGTTTGAATGTGCTATATCTTGCCGAGTTTTTTTGGTTGTTGTCCTTTTTAAATTGTGAAAAACCTAATATGAGATTTGTCCTAACACAATTTCAAGTGTACAGTACAGTATTGTTATCTACAAGCACAATGTTGTACAGCAGTTGTCTAGAACTTTTTCATGTTGCGTGACTAAAATTCTGTATCCATTGAACAGCAACTCCTTGTTTTCTTTTTAGCTCAGCCCCTGGCAACCACCATTCTACTTTGTTTCTATGAGTTTGATTACTTCAGACACCTCATATAAGTGGAATCATGCAATATTTGTCCCTCTGTAACTGGTTTATTTCACTTAGCCTAATGTTTTTAAGGTTCATCCATGTTGTAGCATATGACAGGATTTCCTGCTCTCATTTTTTTTTAAAAATTATTATTATTATTATTTATGCCTACAGCACCTGGTCTTCCTAGGTGGTCTCCCATTCAAGTACTAACTAGGCCCAACTCTGCTTAGCTTCTGAGGTCAGACATTGGGCTTGTTCAGGGTGGCATGGCCGTAGACTGTGGACCATGGCTCCACTGGGGCATGAACCTGGGACCTTCTGCGTGTAAAGCAGATATGCTAACCGCTACACTATGGAACTACGTCCTCCTCTTTTTTTTAATGGATGAACAATACTCCATTCTGTGTATATATCACTTTTTAAAATTTTTTATTTTTTAAGTAGAGTTGACAGTATTAATTTAAATTAGTTTACAGATATACAGCATAGTGATTAGATATTTATATAATTTACGAAGTTATCTCTGATTAGTCTAGTACCCACCTGACACCATACATAGTTATTACAATATTATTGACTATTCCCTATGCTATACTTCACATCCCCGTGACTGTTTTGTAACTACCAATTTGTACTTCTTAATCCCTTTACCTTTTTCACCCTGCCCCCGCAGTCTGGCAGTCACCAGTTTATTCTCTGTATCTGTGAATCTGTTTTCATTTTTATTCATTTATTTTGTTCCTTAAATTCCACATACAAGTGTAATCATATGGTATGTCTTTCTCTGTCTGACTTAGTTAGTCCATCCATGTCATTGCAAATGGTAATATTTCATTTTTTATAGCTGAGTAATATTTCACTGTACATATGTACCACATCATCTTTATCCAGTCATCTATTGATAGACGTTTAGGTTGCTCCCATTATCTTGGCTATTGTAAATAGCGCTGCACACTGCAGTGAATTAAGGGTGCATATATCTTTTTGAATTAGTGTTTTGGTTTTCTTCAGATAAACACCCAGAAATGGAATTACTGGGTCATAAGGTAGTTATTTAGTCTCATGTAGAAAAATATACATATACACATGTGCCAATTTATTCATACAGTTCAGAATGTTTATAGTTTCTTTGAAGCTGAGCCATGGATGTCTAAGTCTTAACTTCCTAGGTGGCAGACTTCTAAATTGTGACTTCAGAGATACAACACATTTCATAAATTACACACAAAACACTACTGATTACTTTTTCTAATTTGAGGGAAACAACCCTGTAATGACAGTTGAAATCTCATCTGGTATAGCTAAATGTGAATATGTGTTGAAATTGAATGCTAGTTGGTATATGGCCATAGTTTATATTATTGCTAGTTGAAATACTTCATAATACAACAGTTCTTTCTTTGCATGGTACTCTGCTAGCTGAAACTTGTGCTATTGGAATGATGTCCTCGATTTACAGGACTTTTAATTTACACAGTAAACATCTATGCCAAGCAAAGACTGCCTGTAGAAAATCTTAACGACAGATAATTCTTAAATGTTGTGATTTTACACATATATTTGATTTGTGAACCCCATCTAATTAAGAGTTTTTTTTTTTAGTGACTTTTTGAGTGCTTTCCTAAGCTTGTTAATTTATGGTGGCTGCTTTCTTTGAAGAAACAGTTTTTAATAACATGGTATAAAAAGGATCATAGAAAAGCTAAAATATCCATTTCGATTATTCCATGATAGGAAGAATTATCTTCCAAAGTGTTCATTTTGTATACAGTATTTACAAATTTTTTAAAAATAATTCGTATAAAATATGCATTATTAAGAATTCTTTTTCCCTGATATATTTTCATTTCCTTAGTAGTCATTCAGATGCCATGTCAGTAGCAACTGAGATTTCGGAATCAGGCACTTCAGATTTGCATTCATTGGAAGTCGGAATTAGAGCATTGTGTGAGGTGAATAATGCTGAGACTAGTTGCACAGAAGAAAGAACTGTTGACTTAAAAACTAAATCACTGTAAGTATTTTACATGGTAGGATTTTAAAATTTATTTTCAAAATTTCAATTTCTTATTTAGAAATGATAATAACATTGCTTCCTTTAGGGAGTAGAAAGGGGCTGTAGGCCATTTAATATGTAATTGTACTGTGGTTTGAGTGTGACCACAGTACAGAAAGAGTCTCTTTTTATCATTACAGAAAGAGTCTCTTTCATATAGTATGTATTATAGTGATAGGAGTTTTAGCAAAGTGGTAACTTATGAAATTCTGAAATAATTTAGAAGCCCAAATACTTGCTATAAGATTTTATTTTTACTTAGTTTGAGTTATTTTTCATGCCTGTTGTCAAAGTAGTAGATTTTGATATTGATGACTTTAAAGAAATTATTATGTTTTTTGGTATGCAGATACTGGTTAAATTAATACCTTCACAAAAAACCAAATAAAAGGACCACAAGAATTTCCCTTTGAAGAGATGTCTCAAAAATTTAGACTTCTTTTTTGTCTCCCTTATAATTCCACATATGACCTAAAAACTATTCAGTTTATGAATTATTTATTTTCCAAAAAGCAAAGTCGCATTGAGAATCCACCTTATTTTTTAAATAAAAATTTACATTAGTTTTTAGAATAGGCAACATTTTTATGGTTCAAATGTCTAAAAGTATAAAAAGATAGTGAAATATCACTCCTACTATGTCTCTATTCACTCTAACCAGTAACAAGTGATATTTTTTATATTCTTTCATAGATTTTTAAAAAGAATATTAAAGCTAATATATATATGTATATATTTTTGCTCTTTTAAATACCTAATGGTAGCATCCTATTCATATCACTTTGCAATTTTTTGTTTTATGTCTTTATATCTTTACATAAAGACCTTCCTTATTCATTTTATAGCTGCATAGTGTTCTGTTGTATAGTGTTCAGTTTATATCCTCAGTGACCTATTGATGGCTATATAGATTGTTTTTACAAACAATACTTAAATCTTACACCTCCATCCTTTCATCAGTATGAGAGTATATTTGTAGGGTAAGTTCCTAAAAATGGAAATACTTGCTTCAAGGATATATATGTATGTGTATGAGTGTGTATGTATACATTTATACATTTATGATTTTGATAGATACTGCCAAAATACTGTCCATAAAGTTATACTAGTTTATGTTTCCACCAACAATGTAAGAAAGCACCTGTCTTCCTTACCAACAAACAATGTTATCAAACTTGGAATTTTGCCAGTTCTTGATAGATCATAAAATAACATATCAGTATAGCATCTCCACCCTATTCTTCTGTTTTTGGCAGGAGTATATAATTATTTTATTTCGCTTAGTTTTTTATTTTAACATTTTCTAATCTAAAGAAAAGTAAAAAGAATAGAACTGAATATCTGTATATAATTTTTACTTAGATTCTCTGATTCTTAATGTCTTGTCATGCTTGTGCTTGCTTGCACTGTTTCTTTAATTTTAACTCGTACTTTTCTTATTGGGAATTAAATTGAGCATCTCTTGACATTTAAACCCATTTTTATTTATTTATTTATTTATTTATTTATTTATAGTCATTCATATCCTTTATCCAGTTTTTTAATGAGTTATTAATGATATTTCGTAGGAGTTCTTTATATTTTAGGGAGGTTAGGCTGTGGTATGAGTTGCAAAACATGCTTTCTTGGTTTGCAGTTTAACTACTGACTTAGTTAGGTTTTGGTCATGTAAAATTTTTAATTTTTATGTTGTTAGTTTTCTCAGTTTTTTTTTTCTTTTATGGCTCAAGCATTTAATCAAATTTTAGAAGGTCTTATCCACCTTAAGATTATAAAATAATACATACGTGATTTCTTTATGGTTTCATTTAAATCTTATTCATTTGGAATATATTTTGAGTACAGTGCAAGGAATGGAGCTAATTTTATTCCACATTGTTACCAGTTTTTTCATCACCATTTATTTAATATTTATTTTTAAGACTATTATTTTGTGTTTCATCCTCATCGTTTTGAAATGTTACCTTTGTTGTATACTAAAATCATGTCTTTCTCAGTTTTCTTTTGTTTCATTTATATGCTTATATCAATACTACAGTGTTTTAATTATTGATGCTAAGTAGTATATTTTTAATATCTGATAGAACAAGTTAATTACTTCCTTATTGTTCTTTTTCAGTTTTCTTTGCTACTCTTACCATAAGTAAACTTAAGAGTTCTTTTCTGGCTCCAAGTGGATTTTTAAAGAATTTCTCCACATTTAATTTAATATGCCTGAATGATGGTGCAATTTAAATAATGTTAATTTTTTAGGGAAACTGATCAAACAGAAAATGTTAAACTGATGGCGAGAGGACGACTCCAGAGGCCTAAACCCAATTTATCAAGGGCTCTTGGGAAGAAATCAGTTCTTCCACAAGGTAAAGCATGTGCAGAGAGCAAGAGTTTACATCTAGAAACTTCAGTTGAAAAGGTATGGAGTAAGAGACTTTATGGAAATTAAAATTATAAAAATTTTCCCTAAATAGTTGGGAATAAAAATGTTTAGTTTTAATTACCAACTAATGTTATCAAAACTCAAAGATATAGGAACATACACATTAATAATTTGTCTTACTAGTCTCTTGTTTATGCATTTTTTTAGGACATAGGACGAATTTCAAACATACTTGTTAATGACCAATCTATCTCTTCTTTAAATATGTAAAATTTTTATTCAAAATATTTCTTAAACCAGCTATACATAAAATTTTATCTACAGTCCTTTCATTTAAACACAGATACTCACCTTCCTCTGTCATTTATAAATTTTCTTTTTATGTATGTAAACATTGTGTCATTTTAATTATAACATATAGAAAATTTAAAACTTCTTTCTCTGTTCATTTCTACTTTCTTGGAGTTAGTTGATTTTTTTAATTATTGCATCAGGTTAACATATTGTTAATTTACCTCACCATTTTTCCAGTGGTGGATGTTTAGGTTATTTCTTTTTTTTTTTAAAACTCTTGAAATAAAAGCGAACAATTTTGTAAATAGAGTTTTCTTGATGATAAGGCAAAGGATAAATTTCCAGAGGTGGTGGAATTGATGGGTCAAGGTATTTTTAATATTTTTATGGCTGTTGTTAAACACTGTCAAACTGACAGTCAAAAAAATGAATTTCTTTACATTGCTACAGCATTAAATGAATCTTCTTGTTTCCTTATATTCCTACCAGGACAATATTATTATAAATTTTTAACTTTTGCTAAAGTATTTTTTAAAAATGTTAGTCTGCCTTTTTTCTTCTTATGTGAAATATCTTTTTATCATACTTTGTATACTATAATTAGAGTATTTTAATATTACTAGAAAGTTGGGAAAATACAGATTCAAGTAAAAATTAAAAAAACTGCTTGTAATTTCATTATCCAGATGCAGTCAGCATTTTTACATAGAATCCTTTCAGCTTTTACAAAGTTTAGTAGTCAGTTTTATATCCTTCTTTGGTACATAACATTTTATAAATATTTTTTCATATCATTAAACATATTTTGGAAAACATGGTTTTTAGTGACTATAATATTCTGTCAATGGGTATAATTGAATTTATTGAACCATTTACTAATTATTGAATATTTTGTCTGTTTACAGTGTTTGCTATTTTACATAAAGTTTCAGTGGACATCATTGTACTTAAATCTTTGCCTAAATATTTTCTTAGACTAGAGACTTAGAAATCATCTTCCTGGGTCAAAGAATATGAACATTTTTAAGGCTCTCGATTCATATTGGCAAAAGGCTTTCCAGAAAGGATATACCTATTTGTGCTGTTGTCAGTAATCTATGAGATTATATGTTTTAGAATACTTTAATCTGTATGTATGATTTAAAAATTTTCTTCTACTTGAAAGTACAAAAGATTTTATTGTTTTAATTTCCATTGATTATTACAAAGTTTGAACTTTTTTATGTTAAGTAGATTAAATGTGAAAAATTGAATTCATAGACTCACATGGAAAAGGATAAAGTGAATACATTTGACGTTTCTGGAATGGAGAATACACAGAGAGAGAACTCAGAAGCTGATTCTGTATCTAAGTAAGTATTTAGAAGTAGAATAAAAATAGTGATTCTTAGGGGAATGAGTTAGCAATTGAGTTAGCAATTACATTTCTTCCTCAGCTTGTTAACAGTCTTCTGAGATAAATTTATGGTTAAGATATATTTTTCTGGTTAATTTTATTCATAGCAAGGGGTTTCAAAATGGGATATTTAACTTTCAGTGGAGATCTAGAATAGGTCTTGCTTCAGTATGAATCTAAACCAGTGGCTTTGCATAGTGCATTTATGCCATAATCTGTTTCCATCCCCTGGAGGTGTATATTACACAGTAGTATCTTGAATGGGGAATAGTATTACATGCTTATCAGTTGCAGATTTTTCCAATTTTGTGATGAAAATTTGATTTGAAAAATTTTTTATACTCAGGCCTCCAGGTTTATGTCTGTTCCAAAGAGTTAAGATGTAGAAGTATGATTATCTTTGAAGAGGTTCTTGAGGACACTTGTAAATTATTTTGTTACAAATGGTTTATTTATTCCTACCTGGGAGAAGGGAATATTAAAAACAAGAAAGTATGTGATTCAGAATAACCATCAATTTTACCCTTTGTAATTGTTCTAGTTTGAGTGAAAAAATATGTCTGCAGGAAGATGATCAACCAAAGGCTTTTAGACCTGCACGACTAATGAGGGGCCGATTTCAAAGGCCAAAGCCAAATGTAGGTAAAGCTGCTGAAAGAAGAGAAATTCTTACATCACAGGAAGAAAGTGGGGCCAGTGTAGAAAAGAATGAAAATGAATTCTATGTAAGTACTGATTCCTCCCAATTTTTTTTAAGTACATATAACTCCTTTTTAAACAGTAGTACTATACAGTTGTGAACATTGTTCATTAAATATAAGGCCAAAATCTGTCATAGCCAGCAGCTTTGCTAATTGTAAAGCCATTTAACTCTCAGCTCTCTGAATTTTGAGCATTTATGTGATGGGTCATCAGCTTTTACCTTCACTCTTCCCTCATATTTGGACTTTCTTTCCCTCATTACTCAGCAGGTATTTGAATTATACTTCTCTTTTGAAAATAATAACTGAATTTTTACACTGGCTTACATAAAATGTTAATAATGCCTTACTAAAATTCTAAGAACCAAGATTATGGATTTTAGATTATTTACGTAATAACTAATCTTCGTGATAAGTTGGCATAATTTGAGATTTGAATTTTTTTGTTATAGTTCCCAAGGTCTATAATGTGATTATAATAATAAGAAGGATTCAGAAAGATAGAGCCTAGGGGATTACTCTTAAAGATGAGATTGAAGCAGTTACTTGTTTTCTAATTGGGAAGAAAATGGATGGAGGCTTTGAGATGAGGTTAAATGTGTGGCTTGTGAAATTTTCTAAGATAACAAAAAAATTTTTAATGTCCCTTGAATATAATTTTATAATTTTGAAATGTTTATCATTTTCTTACCACTCAAATTGGACAAAATGCAATCTTTTACAAATGGTTGTTTCATTTTGAAACTTAAAACTTTTAAAAATATGTTTGTTATTAAGACTCCTGAACAAATAGAAGATCAATCATGTAAAAATTTTGAGTGTGGAGATATCACATCACAATCTGAAAAAAAAGATACTTTTTTCCAAAATGTGCAGCTGGATGAGCCCAAGGCTCTTAATGAATGTCTAAGGTAAGCCTCATTGATTATATAATTTTTGCATTTTATATGAAGTTTTAAAAATTGTCAGTCATTTAAAAAAATCAGAATTGATCTGTTTTCTGTATATCAAGTTATGTAATATTTATAAAAATAATTTCATTTTTCAAGGTGATTATCTCATAGCCTTAATGATAATTTCTCAGTTATGGGTGAATTGAAGAGCTACTCATAGACCTTGAGTTAACATGGATAGCATTATCACTTAACATGCATATTAAATTAGATGTCTGTGTCCAAATTTGAAAACGCTATTTATTATTTTTTTCTTTGGGATTAGATTGCTCACATATTGCCTTTATTCAAGGTTTACATAAGTTTTTTGTAAAACACATATATAAAAATCTATACTTCTCATAGCCAAAGCTCTTTATATTTGTTATTTCCCTTGTGGAGGGTACCAAACCATATTAGTGAAATTATTAGTATACTTAAGATTTTTTTTCTTTTGGGAATATTTAATATGTACAAAAGCACATTTAACAGAATAATGGATTCCCATATACCTATTGTCTAGTTTCAACAATTAATATACATATATCTTTCCCCCTCTTTAATCCCCCCACCCCACTTCCAACTCTGACCTATGGATGTTACCGTTTCCCTTTTTTTAAGAACTGGATCTCTGAAGGCGTTGTGTCTCCTCCCACACGCTCGCGGCATCCACCGGGGGTACCCGGGGCCTGGCGCACCCAGGGTATGGTCTGTGGCTTCACCTGGGGCACGAACCCAGGACCTTCTGCGTGTAAAGCAGACGTGCTAACCACTGCACTATGGAGCCACCCCAATATTATTTTCAATCTTTACATTTAGAGTCTGGCCTAGTCTGTACTTTCTTATAGCTGTATTAGGCTGTTTAAATAGTAGCTAACCTGAGAGTGAAATCTGGGCTTTCTGAACTATTTTAAAGATCTTTATTAGAAGACAGGAAAACTCCTTTATTCATTGCTCTATTCTTTTGCTTCTTACTTCCCTCCATACATGCACTTCCCCCACCCCCAAACTATTTTACTGTTCTGCCACAGAATCTCTGGGTAGAATCCTACACAACAACATTACTTGTTACACTTTTCTAATACAGGTATTAGTTACGGATATGTGACAGTTTGGGTTTTTTGTTTATATATATATTTTTCAGTTTAAGCCAGACTCCATTTAATAGTTCATGTGGCTTGGTAGAAAATTAGGACTTTCCCTAAGTGGTCATTGGGTTTTAAAATCCTGATGGCTGCTGTTTAGAACTAATAACCAGTTTGATCTCAACGACTTTTCCTTTCCAAGGCATAGTCCTTTCTGTTTTATCATATGATCTTTCTGGTCTTTGAATCTCTAACATCCTTAAAAACAATTCTAAGATTCTGTGTTTTATCATATCATATGCCTTTTTATATCTAATAATAGGCAGTTTTCCCTTCTTTCCACTGTGAACTGTTCATGATGCTGTGTAAGTGAAAGAGAAAATAGAGAAAGAGACTCAGATGAAGAATGCTTAAAAATCCCACTTGATTAAATTAGCAAATATGTTTTGAAACTTCATTCTGTAGGCTAATTTTGCATCCTGTGTACTTCATATAAATATTTTGAGGTTAGTGTCATGATTAGTGAATTATTTTATGGAGATTTATAAATATTTTATTTTATAGATACTTTAACTCTATATTTTAGGAAAACACATGCGTGGACCAGGGTGCA